TGGTCCTCGGGAAGTCTGCTTCTCCCTCTCCCTCTGCCTTCTGCTCCCCCTGCTTGTGCTCACTCTTTCTCTGTCAAATAAATAAATAAAATATTTTTTTTTTTTTAAAAAAAAGAACCCATATTCCTTCAGAAGTTTTAGGGAATTCTGGATTGTCTTCTATTTCCAGTTTTGGTATTGAGGAGGCCTACACCAGCTGAACTCCTTATTCTTTATAGTGATCTATTTTCTCTCTAAGCTTTTGAGATCTACTCTGTCTCCAGTGTCCAGATAATCTAAAGTGATGTGCTTTGGTTCAGGTCTTTGTTTATTCATTGTGCAGAGAACATAACGGCCCTTATATATATATTGAAATTCATGTTTTTTTTTAAATTGCATTGAATCCTTTCTCAGATAATTTCATTTTCTTTGTTTTTGTGTCTCTGTACCTATTCTCTCTGCCTTTTTGGAATGTGCTAGACCTTCTGGATTGATCCTCTAGTTACCTTCTTCTGTACACTATCTTCTTTTGGTTATACTTTCAGGATCCATTTGTTCATTTTAATGTTCCCGTTCTTCTGAAATTTTTATTTCTGTTACATCTTGAATTTCCAAACTTTCTTTTTTATTTTCTGAATATTCATCTGTAACAGCTCTGCTTTTGTTTCAGGGATCCAGTAGATTTGTTTATTTCTGAGGATAAGTTCTTTTCTGCAGTTTGTTTGTTTGTTTGTTTTTTACTTGCACTGTGGCTATTTCCTCTGAGTTCTTTATGATTGTTTTGGTGTCTGTCTTTTATGTTAGGATGGCTTCATAGTTACATCTTAGTCATCAGAGAGGTTTCTTAGGGCCATCTAAGAGCCTTCTTAGAACGTGTGTGTGTGTGTGTGTGTGTGTTTGTGTACACGTGCACTCACATGTGCATGCACACAAATGGGAGGCACTTAGTACATTGAGCAGAGACCTTGCTCTTTCATTGAGAAACCCTCAAATAATAGTGTATCAATAGGTGTTTCCTCTTGAGGCTGTCAAGAGGCTGAGGCTGAGGTCCCTCAAAAGGGACCTTCCTATTCCCTACCTCATCCAGAATTTTGGGGGCTTAGTCGGGAAGGGTGCCAGCAAAGGTCTCATTCTTCAGCATGCAGAGTTATATTTAATCCTTTTATTTTCAATAAATTTTTCACTTTACCGTGTCCATGTCTTGAAGACTAGAGACTTGCATGTTTATGCTCTCCAGACTTTGATTGTAAATTTTTAGTCCACTGCTTGGGACATGGATCTGGGAGGTCTTGTTACTCTTTCGACAAACTTTCAACTAGCCCTCCTGTTTTTAGCTCCCCACACCCTTGCCATCAAATATATCTGGCGTCTTCAATTCTTAAGCCTTTTAAGGGTTCTCTGGTGTGAACTGGCTTGCTTCTTGTTTGGCTTCCATCCCTGCTGGCAGAATGGAAAAACACTTAGCAGAATGGAGAAAGAGGGAACCCAAGATAGTTACCCCTTGCCATCCACTTTCCATCTTTGAAAAATGTGCAGATTTGTCTCATCTGCTCTCTACTCCTCTCTGCCCCGTGTGTTTCTTCCTTTTTTTATTTCTTTATTCTCATCTCAGAGAGGGCTCAGGAGAAAATTTCAGTCTCCCATCTCTGATTGGGACACCCTAACTGCCTTTTTCATTTTGCCCTTCTCATTTCACTGTAGATTTTTTATGAGGTTCAAGGGAGGGTTCTTTGGCTAAATCACTCCACGGTTCATCCCTGTTTGTTAGCTTCAGGAAGGCTGGTTTTGTAAACTGTTAGGAGTCAGCATGTTGGCAGGTCTGTCTTTGCTCTGTAATCACCTTGGAAACTCTCCAGCTTCTTTTCTCTGACAAGTTGCTGCTATATTGTAGGGAATACAGTCCTCTAGGCATTTACAGATGCTGGATTGTATTTCTCATTGCTTTTTTGTGGGGAGTGTGTATATGACTAAGCACAAACATTTTGTTTTGGAAATCAGAACTCATCCTACTTCCCCTTTTTGGGGCCTGTGCATTATTATACTTTTTCTTTTGTCTTTTATACCATAAAATCATCAAAAATGTGTTCTATAGAGCAGCAGAAAAGTAATTTATATACTGTAATTTTTCTTTCTCATAGGACATAATATATTTTTATTTGTGGCTTTGTAAATGACTTAAGTTAGATGCCTGGTAATGCATGTCTTTCGAGGGCCTAATGAAAACATTAAATAATTTTTGCTTAATTATTATATTTTCATTAAACTCTTAAGATTAATAGTACATACCTAAGCGTAGTTGATTCAGGTTTTGCTAACAGTATACTCCCTCAAACTTTCTCTTATTTATGTTGGTTGCAAATTACTCGTTAAATCCTTTTACAACACTTAAAAATAGGACCCAAATTAAAAAAGAGAACTTAAAAGATTAGTTATTTCCGTTAACAAGGAATAGAATGAGTAGGTTAGAGATCTTATGTCGTTTTGGGTACGTGATAGATAAGAGATACTGAGCCCTCGGGGCCTGTTTTTACTTACAAGGGCCACATACCTTTCTTTCTTAGACTGTTTCCTGAGGATATGTATAGTTGACTTGCTCATTGCTTTCCCTTTGGGCTCCAAGTTTGTTCAGTAGTGAAATGTGTGTGCACAGCAACAAGGACAGTTCCTGGCATATGCAGAGATTGATTGATTGGTTGATTGATTGCGTGGCTAAATGGGCAGAGAGATGGCAGGTGTTTTAACAGCATCTTCTATTCTGATAGGCTCCTGGTGAAGGTATGTGCTGTTGACCTTCACTTCAGCCTCCTGATTTCTTCATAGGTCAGCCTGGATGTCACTTCCTCTAGATGCCTTTCTTATTACTCTACTTCTCCCAAATAGAGTAGATTTGTCTGCTATGTATTTAGCATCCTAAACCACTTAGGCTGTTTATTTACCTATACCCCTCATTTAGACTAGGCTCTGAAAGCTGATTGTGTCTGTCTTGCTCATCATTGTATCCCTGACACCTTGCCCAGTGTCTGGCTCTTAATAGGCATACATATTTATTTGAGGTATTCATTTTTTGGATTGATGGATGACATTGTGTAGCCAAAAATTACATCTGTCTCGCTGCCCAATTTTGAAGATTCTCCTTCAGTTTGTACTTCCTGCCATTATTGGAAGAGCCATTCTTTGTCTATAATTTTGTCTTCTGTTCAAAGAAAAGCAGCAAGCAAAAGTAGATAATTTATTTGATTACTGCCCACTGAGTTATTCTTCTGCTGTCAACCGCATGTCTTAATCACCTGATTCATGCTTATGGATGTCTTGATAGCTTTTTTTGGTAATTAGGGTAGTCTGCGTTCATTTGTATACTGTCTATATGTTCTTGAAATGTTTTACTATAAAGTCAACTTTAGTATAAACAGTGAGTCTTGCTTTATTGTGATGATAATGAATGTATGAACGACACAGTAAAATTCAAACCAGTCTTCACGTTTCTTCCTCAACCTGCCCACTGTCATTTAAAAAAAAATAAAGCCTTGGGCGCCTGGGTGGCTCATTTGGTTAAGCGACTGCCTTCGACTTGGGTCATGATCCTGGAGTCCCAGGATTGAGTCCCTGCTTTGGGCTCCCTGCTCAGCAGGGAGTCTGCTTCTCCCTCTGACCCTACCCCCTCCTGTGCTCTCTCTCTCATTCTCTCTCTCAAATAAATAAAATCTTTAAAAAAAATAAAACCTTATTGAGATACAATTCACATACCATAAAATTCACCCTTTTAAAGTTTACAGTTCAGGGTTTTTAGTGTATTCACCAACTTGTACACCCATCACTACTGTGTAATCGCAGAATACTTTTTATTATCCCCCAAAGAAACACCATATTCTTTAGCAGACATTCTTCATTCTGCTGTTTGTATGGATTTGCGTATTCCAGATATTTCATATAAATGGAATCATACAATAATTGGCCTTTTGTGTCTGGCTTCTTTCACTTAGCATGATGTTTGAGAGATTCATCCATGTGGTAGCATATATCAGTATTCTTCATTCCTTTTTATAGCCAAATAGTAATCCATTATAGCCCATTTTGCTCATCCATGCATTAGTTGATGGGCGTTAGGGTTGTTTCCACTTTTGGCTATTATGAATCATGCTGCTGTGAACATTCATGTGCAAGTTTTTGCGTTGATGTGTTGATATCAGGATTCAGTTTTTAATTTTAGATTACAAATGAGTAGAAACTTAACAGATGTTACTCATGTATAGCATACATACAGAAATTGTAAATGTTCATCTCAGTGAATATTTACAAAGTGAGCACACCTGTGTAACAAGAACCAAGCTCTACAAAGAGAACATTTTTGGTATCTCTGGGGACTTTTAGATGTTGGATTTGGTTTAGGTTGTTTCATTTGCCTATACGCTCAAGTAGAGCTGAAGCCTTCCTCTTAAAACTGTATATTTGGAACATAAGCTCAGTAGGTAGTTTATGTTATAATAGTGCAGCAGCTGAGCTGACAGACTCTAGGACCTCGATCGCTTGGGTTCAAATCCCAGCTCTGCCATGTATTAGTGTGAAACCATTGGCAAATTGCCTAATGTCTCTGTGCTCCGATTTCCTCATCTGTAAAATGGGCATGAAACTGCCTCATTGCGGGGAGGCGCCTGGGTGGCTGAGGTCTTGGTCTTGGGGTTGTGAGTTCAAGCCCCTCAGTTGGAGTGGAGCCTACTTAAACAAACAGAACACTACCTCATAGGGAAGATTAGTACACGTAGATGGTCAGACCAAGTGCTGTATATGTGTTCTGTTAATGATTATTGTTACTGTGTCTGTCTCTCCATTAGAATGTAAGCCCCTTATCTGACTAACGTATCACTGTGTTTCCAAAGACTAGCACTGTGCCTGGCACATAACAGATACTCAGTAAATTTTTGAAGAAGTAAAGGAGGGAGGGATTTTAAATGATGAGTGGCAGGATTCCTAAATCGTTTCCTGAACCCACTTTTGACAGCTACACTGTCTTTCATTTACAACAGCTTTTGGAGCTATTTGACAGCGAAGACCCTCGGGAACGGGACTACTTAAAAACAGTCTTACACAGAATTTATGGCAAATTTCTTGGTCTTAGAGCATTTATCAGAAAACAGATTAACAATATTTTTCTAAGGTAAGTGGAGGACGGGGGGAGAAGGAGAAGCAAAAATGGTGGTTTTATAGAAGTGTTAAATAAACTTCAAATATTTGAACATCGTGTACTGACTTTACTTCTTTTCTTTTTAAAAAAGGTTTGTTTATGAAACAGAACACTTCAATGGTGTAGCTGAACTGCTGGAAATACTAGGAAGGTAAGCACATTTTTAGCTAATTGCTAATCTCAGGTGAATAGCATTTTGAAAATTAGATTCAAATGCCACAGGGAAATGCTGACCTAGATCTCTTGCTGTATGTACATTGAGTACTCTAATTTGTGCTTTCGCATGTTTCCCAACTGACTCTACAAGACACGATTTCTTGTGCCTCCTTGTTCCACAATTATGCATTGCTAATTCTACTGGAATGACTGAAAGAGCTAACAGTTTGTTCATTGCTACAAAGACAATACATCTAATTGCAGTCAAGCCCGTTACTCCACAACATCTTATTCTCTGTTAGTTTCTAGGCTACCTGTCCTTTGCCATATCTTTTGAAAGCAAGTTAAAATAAATTGGAAAGATTGCCATTTTCAAAGGAACCATGTACCCAGGTGTAGTCCCTCAACAGCTGCTGCCGGGAGAAGTGGATTGAATTGGGAAGAGACAGCTGTTGTGTAGTTTTTTATACACAAGGGAGGTTAATGTGACTGGGCAATGTGATTGCTTAGTTTCTCCTCCTAATGTAAGGAGAAAAAGTGGAGTCACATGGTTTTTTCTGTGATTTTTCCCAGGCGGGGGCTCTATGTCTATGGTATTCTTGGTTAGAGAAGAAATTTCAGGAATGATGTCTGCAAATGGAAAGGGGTCCTAAGTGAGGAGGGCAAGCGATTTTGGGGGGAAGGAAAAATAAAGGGTTATTGATTACAAAAGCTTTTGGGAATCATCCAGCTAGGTGAAAAGAGCATAAGAGCCTATGCTAGGTTATCATAACCAAATTTTCTTAAATTTCCTTCCACTTAAATATACTCTTTGAAGTAACTCAGAAATCTTGAATGTCACCGGGTGGGGTTTGGGTTGTTTTGGACCAAACATAAACAGATTCAGATTTAACCTAGTTTTCCAAGAGCAGGTTGTCTCAGGTTAGCTGGTTGTGATCATGCTGCTAATTGATGTTTCTTTTCTTTTTCTAGTATTATCAATGGCTTTGCTTTACCTCTTAAGGCAGAACACAAACAGTTTCTGGTGAAAGTGTTGATCCCTTTACACACTGTCAGGAGCTTATCACTCTTCCATGCCCAGGTAGAATTTTATGTAACTACTTTTGTAAGCAAAATTAAAAGTTTACAAACTCAGTGTTTCTTTGATATTGATACTTCCTTAATTAAAAAAAAACTCATTTAAAGTGCTCCCCGAGGAAAATTAAAATGTGTGCTCTGTTTTTCTGTGCATAGGAGAATTCATGGGAATATTTTTCAAGTGGGAGGAGCATTTGTTCATTTTACAGAGAACTTTGAGGACTTTCCTAGTTCACAAAATTATATATTGACCATGTTGTGTACAATCAAATATATGTGGGTTTTCCAGATTTAGAGCTTTGGAGTATTCTGGAATATTTTATCTCACCCACATTTGCATTTGTCTGTCAGTTGCTCTTTGCCCCCCTTCTAGTTAACTCACTATTTCCTTCTCACTTTCTTTTTTTAATTTTATTTTATTATGTTATATTAGTCACCATACATTATATCATTAGTTTTTGATGTAGTGTTCCATGATTCATTGTTTGCATATAACACCCAATGCTTCATGCAATATGTGCCCACCTTAATACCCATCACTGGGCTAACTCATCCCCCCACTCCCCTCCTCTCTAAAACCCTTAGTTTGTTTCTCAGAGTCCATAGTCTCTCATGGTTCGTCTCCCCCTCCGATACACCCCCATTCATTTTTCCTTTCCCTTCCTACTATCTTCTTTTTTTTTTTTTATTAACATATAATGTGTTATTTGTTTCAGGGGTACAGGTCTGTGATTCATCAGTCTTACACAATTCACAGCACTCACCATAGCACATACCCTCCCCAGTGTCTATCACCCAGCCACCCCATCCCTCCCACCCCCACCACTCCAGCAACCCTCAGTTTGTTTCCTGAGATTAAGAGTCTCTTTTGGTTTGTCTCCCTCTCTGGTTTCATCTTGTTTCATTTTTCCCTCCCTTCCCCTATGATCCTCTGTCTTATTTCTCAAATTCCTCATATCAGTGAGATCATATGATACTTGTCTTTCTCTGATTGACTTATTTTGCTTAGCGTAATACCCTCTAGTTCCATCCATGTCATTGCAAATGGCAAGATTTCGTGTTTTTTTTTGATGGTTGCGTAATATTCCATTGTGTGTGTGTATGTGTACCACATCTTTATCCATTTATCTTCTCACTTTCTATGCACAAATGAACATACTCGCAAGTCAACAATCAGTATTTTCACATCTTTTTATTTTTAGCCTCTGTTACTTTAAAAAGCGTACTCTGTCTTGTCCCAAGTCTGATTTCCGTGCTAACACTGCCTTGTGTGGTAAGCATGTCACTGGGGGACAGATAAATGATGTAGTGGCATTTTAATTTTAGTATTCCAAACCAATGGGAATGTTTTGAGTTTGCATAAAAATGTCACACATTTTTCTGAGCAGTGTTCCTCTTTAAATGTGAAATTCTGTGTTTCGAGGAAAAATTAGTCCATATGTTTCTAATTTAGAACACCATCAAAATGTTGTTCCGCAAGGGTGGATTTCTTGTCCAAAAATCTTTACGAGCCCTTTTACAAATCTTGCCTCTGGTTTTTGAAATAGGCTATCACATTTTATGAGCGTGTAAAAGAATTCTTACCTAGATGAGCTAGCCTCAGATGTAAAACTCCTCACTCTTCCAGCTGGGGCAGGTACAACCTTTTATCTCTTCATGAAACTGCTTCCATTCGCATGGGCCACTCTAGGCAATCAGCAGGGTGTTTAGTAAGTGCTGCCTATGTTTCGTCTAGGACTCTTCTGGAACTGCAGTAAAACCCAGTACTGTCGAGGTTGGCAAAGAGAGAAAGGAAGCCCATGAGATGTAGCTTAGACTGTAGATGAGATACTTTCAGAATCTACTGAATGTGATGTTTCTGCTTTTCATTAGCCAGATACTTCGTGTCTCAGTATTCTTTTAAAAAAATTCCCCTGGGATGTTGTTAGTGTCAATCTTTGGCTTGAAAAAGTAGCTTTTTATTTCACTTTATATATGTTTTATTTTTAAAATGAATTGAACATGAAGTTACTAAAACCAGAGTCTAGAAACTTTTTAGGAAGTTTTAATATGTCTTTTGAGTCCTTTTGAGTATATAGCATTTCCAATTTTGTCGCTCATTTTTCTGTTTCTCCAGCTGGCGTATTGCATAGTACAGTTTCTGGAGAAAGATCCTTCACTCACAGAACCAGTAAGTATTTTTTTCTATAATTTCAAAAAACTTCAAAAAGACTACTTTTCATGGAGTATATATGGAAAATTCAGTGCCGTTGTTTTTCTCCTTTTCATTTTAGGTTATTAGGGGGTTAATGAAATTTTGGCCTAAAACATGTAGTCAGAAAGAGGTAAGTGCTTAATGTTGGTGTGTTAAGAACTTACTAGATACTCTGCAGAGTGTCAGGCTCTGAGCCAATTAGTATGTGTAAAAATACATTATTTCATCCAATTTTCATTTTATCTCTGTAAAGCAGGACTGTAAATATTCACATTTTACCAGTTTTCAAATTGAAGCACAGAGAGCCTGAGTATGCTAAGTATAAGTGATTAGGCCAGAATCCTCCACCCTGGTTCTGAACCCTGAACTTTTCATCACACTATGCTCAGTCCTAGGGAAGCCCTAGTCAGGCTCTGCTCATGTGTCTCACTGTCTAGCTTTATCAGAGTCACCTTTCTAGTGACCACCTTCATAGGATGGAGGCTTTGTGTTGTTGTAGATAGATCCTAGAGCAACCTTCCCAAATACTCCATTTTAAAATATAATAGAGATCGGATCTTAACGATGTATGATTTTAAACTATATTACAGACCTTTAGTTTCAGCTGTTCACAAGTGGCCCTGGAAATTTCTGACCTATTATCATTTGTGCTTTTGCCAAGACCTAAGCAGGCATGTGCCATTTGAGGTTGTGAGAGAGTAAGTCTCTTAGCTTAGAGGTGAACCTGGCTGGGGCCACATCTGCACTCACTCTTCTATAGAAACCACGTGGAAAATGGCCCAGCAAGAAAAGTCCGCTGTTAGTTTGACATTTGGGGAGAATTTTGGGAGAACTTCTTGATGTATCTTGACAAATGGCAAGGGTCTGCTGCCTACTATATATTACTTTTAACAGAAATATGCTCCTTCTCAAATCATTTTCAATTCTCCAAAACCCTACTTTACACAATTTCAGAAAGTCATCTAATTTTTTTAATACCTGTTTGACAAAATTAAGCTATAACCATTGCTACCCAGATGCACCTCAAGATATGAAAACATGGTAATTTTTCATATTTTAATAGCATAGTTAATTTTTTGTAATTATTTTTTTATGCCTAAATACATAGCTGTTTTTTATTTCTCTGTCAGTTTTCCATTGTATTTTATTTTTATTTATTTTTTTAAAAGATTTTATTTGACAGAGAGAGAGAGACAGAGAGCAAGCATAAGCAGGGGAAATGGCAGGCAGAGGAGAAGTAGGCTCCCCGCTGAGCAAGGAGCCTGATGTGTGGCTCAATCCGAGGACCCTGGGATCATGACCTGAGCGAAAGGCAGCTTCTTAACCAGAATGAGCCACCCAGGTGCCCCTTTCCATTGCATTTTAAACAATTGACTGTGCTATTACTTTGGCTCCATGCAGTGATTTAAAAGCTCGATTTTGGGGCGCCTGGGTGGCTCAGTTGGTTAGGTGTCCGACTCGATTTCTGCTCAGATTGTGATTTCAGGGTCCTGGGATCAGCTGTGTCGGGCTCTCTGCTCAGTGGGGAGTCTACTTGTCTCCCTCTCGCTCTGTTCCTCCCCCCCCCCCCCCGCTAGCACTCGCTCTCCCTCTGTCTTAAAAAAATAAAAATGAAAGCTCTCTTCTTGAGACACATAGTGCTGAGGCTGGGATGCATTGTGCTTTATAGTGAGCAGTTGTGCATGCATACACGCGTGTGTACACGTGCAGATTGGGTCAGTGTGTGCTCATGGGTTTAAAGTGGTACCTGAAAAAAAAGTAAATAAAGTGGTACCTGTGTGTGGGTGAACCTGCTCATTTGTGTCTCTCCGGCTCTCTGTGTTCTGTTAACTAGTGTATTCTAGAGGAGCACCTAACACACAGCAGGGGATGTAAACATTTAGCAGATAGCGGCATGTGCCACTGTGAACTTTTGTCCATCCGTGCGGGAGGCTACTCTCCCACTGTTTGAAAAACAAGAGTAGGGGGGCAGATGCCAGGCTGATAGCAATCGAAAGGAGAGCCCCACGGAGACATTGCTGTTTCCCAGGGGCCCTGCTGCATGTGTAAGTGCCCCTTGTTCTGGGTTATAGATGTAGCACATAGAGGATTTTTTCCAAAGTAAATAGAATCATACTTTCAAAGCTATAGGGAATTTGCTCATAACAAGTGCCCTCTGCTGAATTCTTTGTGACATGAACATCTAACATAAGACAAAGCCTAATTTGTTCCTGTTCGGTTTTGTGTGTAAAGTTTTCTTAAAACATTATAAACTCTCATTAATCCTCATCATTCATTTGGATCTTTAAACGAAGTACCTGACATTTTGTGTTTTGTACGTACTAACAGGTCATGTTCCTTGGGGAGCTGGAAGAAATATTGGATGTGATTGAACCCTCACAATTTGTTAAAATTCAAGAACCTTTGTTTAAACAAATTGCCAAGTGTGTATCTAGCCCCCATTTTCAGGTTAGTAATAAAGAGAGGATGAGCTGGAGTGTGGCCTGTACCACACATGTTATTTGGTTAAATGTTATTTGTATTGAAAGACATGTAATGGGCACTAGCTACCTGTTGTTTTTTATTTGCTATTTTCTCATACAGTAATAATTTTCATAATAACCGCCTTTATCTTGAACACGTGCAGTATGACAGCTGCTTTGATGGTGCTTTCTGCCTCGTAACTTCAGTTCTCGTGATCACTCTACAAGGAGGGTGTTACGATTTTTACAGATGTGAACACTAAAGTTCAAAATGGTAAAGTAACTTGTCTCAAATAAAATGGCCGAGTAAGAGGTGGACTGGTAGGGTTCCTATAGCGTGTAAGAGAGAATGCGAAATAAAGCTTTAAGAGGCAAAAAGAACACACATATACTGTGCTAGATGCTTTACATACGTTATTCGTAAACTTCACCTTATCCTGTGAGGCTCTACCCTCCCCGCTCACCCCTGCCTCCGCTGTTTTCTGGATGAAAACCTTGAGACTCAGAATGATTTGCTTCAGGCCCCAAGTTCATAAGGAGTGAAGTCAGTTAGGTGTCCCTTCTTGTGAAAGCTGGTCACCTTCCCATGGCACCACTCTGCCTCCTTGTGGCCACTGCGGGGGATCACAGGGAAGCGAACCCGGCAACCTTTTTCTCAACTGGGGCTGTTGCTGCCATGCTGCAGAACCCACACAGGAGGGAAGGGGGTGATCTGGAGCAAAAACATGTCAGATTTTATACCCTTTCGCTGTCTCACCAAAGGTCCGTATCACAGACCTTGAAGACTAACTCTTCATATACTGCCTGTTGACTCAAAGAGATTGTTCAGATTCTAGTTGATAGCGCAGAATCCCACTGCTGATATGGTAGACTCAGCGGTGGACTTTTTCCCTGAGCTGTCATTATCCTGAATAGTTAGAGACATTGGCTGTTGTCGTTTTCATTTTTGACTTGAAGACATGTTAGTTATGTCAAGGTGGTGATCCTCTGACAAACTAGAGATTGTACCACAAAGCTCCTCCCCACAAAAAGTGGAAACCATTTTATGAATCATTACGTTGCATGCAAATGATACAACATATGTTTAGATAAACACAGAACAATTGCAGGATATTATGTAGGTGTTCTGCATATTATACATAGCGTGAGTGCCCAAGCATCTGGATTGTCTACATTATTTTTCAGTTTTCATCAGGAGGTTTGACATTGTGGAAAGCAAAGAGCAGGAATCTCTCTCTCTCTCTCTCTTCTTTCAGAAATCTCTTTTAAGATCACCAGGCAGGCTTAAATGATGCTCAGAAGCTTAGAAAGGAGACAAAGTGTCTGGTCAGCTACGGCTGTCCATTCAGGCCGCTATAACAAGATACCACAGACTGGGCGGGCGGCTTATAAACAGCAGAAATTTATTTCTCTTGTTTCTGGAGGCTGGAAGTTTGAGATAAGGGTGCCAGCATAGTTGAGTGAAGCCTCTCTTCTGAGTTGTGGGTTTCTTGTATCCTCACTTGGCAGAAGGGCTAATGATCTCCTTGGAACCTATTTTATAAGCACTAATCCCCTTCATGAGGGCTCCACGCTTGTGACTTCAGTACCTTCCAAAGGCCCCCCTCCTAATACCATCATCTTTGGAGATTAGGATCTCAACATAGGAATTTTGTGGGGACACAAGCATTCAGATCACAGCCAGGCTTCTATAACAAAACACCATAGGCCATGTGGCTTAAACCACGGAAATTTATTTCTCACAATCCTGGAGGCTGGAAGTTTGAGACCAGACTGCCAGCCTGGTCGTCTTCTGGTGAGGGCTCCCCCTCTGGCTTGCAGATGGCTGGCTGCCTTCTCCCTGTGTCCTCACATGGCCTTCCTTGGTGTATGCATGAGGAAAGAAGAGGAGATCTTCTCTCTTCCTCCTTTTGAGGCCCACCAGGCCTATTGGATTAGGACCCCGCCCTTATGACTTCATTTAACCTTAATTTTACCTCCTTAAAGTCCTATCTCCAAATACACTCACACCGTGGGTTAGGGCTTCAACATAGGAATTTGCGGGGATGATTTAGTCCATAGCAGAAAGAAAAGAGAATTTAAAATTATTTGACAGAAGTAAAGTTTAGAACAAAAGAAAGGACAGTAAAGAGGTTCTTCGTTATTCATTTATTAAGTGTTCATGGGTGCATCCAGCAAACATTTTTCAAGTGCCACTCTGTGTAGCCACACACCTTTCACTCTCCCCCCCCCCCCCCCCGCCCCCCCCCGTGTGGCATCGGGGTCAGAGGGTGCCAAACAGACCATGCCAATGTGCAAGGGGATGGTGTGTCCCAGGAAAGTAATGATTCTCTCCTAGTGTTAGACATGCTAATTTTTACTTTGCATAAGCAGGGCCTTTCCTCTTTAAGGGGCTTTGCTGGATACTGACTTACTCTCTGTAAGTGATTTTGCATAGCAATAAACAGATACATTGATTAAAATACTTGTTGGCGTTAAGTAGCAAGTAAACATTAGACTCCTAATTGGATGTAGGAAAATCCTAGGTTTCTCCTTCTTTCTCCCCCAGCATCCTCCTGGGGTCTCTTTAAAACTTCCTCCTTCGGTTGTAAGTTTCAGAACAACGTCACCCCGCATTCCTCCTCTTGTCCCTCTTTTTCCTTGGGCTCTACCTGCCTCGGCCGTACCACGTGCTGCATGGTTTCTGGCCCATGGGGGCACCTCTGCCCCCCTTTCCTGTCATTCCCTCCGCCTGGGTGCCTTTTCCTCCTTTGCTTCATCCTTCAAAGCCGGCTTAGGTGCTGCCTCCTGTGTTACCTTCCCGCAGCTTCTCCTCTCCCCCAGGTCATCCAGATCGTTCGTGCCGCTCTTTCCGCCTGCGCTTTGTTTCTCCATCTGTCACGGTTTACCTCGGATAGGCTCATAGATGTCCCTTTCCCCATGGGCACACAAGCTCCAAAGGGATAACAGAGTAGAGAAGTTAAGAGCAGTGACTTTGGAGTCTGTCGCTTGCTAATCATGTGGCCTCGAGGCAATGGCTTACCTACTCTGGGCTCATTTTCCTCATTTGCAAAATGTAAATAATGGTATGGATGCTGTGTGTTGGTTGTGAGGATTAAATGAGGTAATATACAGGTGAAACATTTAGCACAGTGCCTGAATAGAGTAAACATTCAATATTGATTGTTTTCTTTGTACTCTCAGGGTCTAGTGCCTCATGAGTCCCAGGATTTTTTTTTTTTTTTTTGAAGCAAGTTGAATAATGTAATAAGTTGAATAATGGAAAGGCTTAATTTCTCAGAGTCTGTTGGTGGGTACGTCTTGTACCATGTCATTAAATTATTAAATTTAAGTTTAATTTAAATTTAATTTATTAAATTAGAATGTAACTTCTTAATCTGGATGAATGAAAGAAGCCAGTCTTTTTTCTTTTTCCCTTCCAAAAACTACCCTTTTTAGAGATTTTAGCTTTTTTTGAGATTTTTGGTTTTATTACTTTTTAGATTGTTTAGGTTATTTTTTTTTTGAGGCCTTCCTTTGAATTCATAGAGTCATTTGAATAGCACAGTGGTCAGAGAAAAAGGGATCAGAGATAGCAAGCAAGCGTGTGTACAGTCGATGTCTCTGAGTCCAGAAACTGAGTGACTTCCTCCCAGCTTACCCAGTTCAACAAAGGAGGGACCTGAAATAAACTTTGGAAAGAGTCTGGTCACTAGACTTGAGTCCCAGCTTTCACCATTTACTAGCAATGTGACCTTGTGAGGGTATTAGTCTCTTTGAGCCTCACTGTCTTCATCTGTCCAGTAAACCCAATGGTACCTAGTCCCGATGGCGGTAAGGATGGCACATTCTCCCTGCAGTAGGCCCAGTGGCTGGCCAGAGGACGTGCTCAGCAAATGGAAGTGTTCTGCAGAGATGAGCAGCTGGGTTTTTCTCAGCAGCTTTTGACTGAATACCAGCTGTGTGCTGGGCCCTCCGGTTGGTTTGAAGTGTTTGGGATGAAAGAAGTGAGCCAGAAGAGGGTTAAAGACACAGGGACAGCAGTGTGCATCTAGAATTAGAGAAAGGTATTTGGAGTTTGGGGGCTGGGTGGGGAAAATGTGGAATCTGATGAAATGGGCAGTATTAAAGGAAAACATAAAGAAATAGGCAGGAAAACTTTTTTCCTTCCTCAAATCGATAAACCACTTTAAAATCCATAAAATCCATATTTAAAATCCAATTTAAATCCATAAAAATGTAAAGGGTGATTAATATTTAGTTTCACATTTGATTGAATGATATAAAAATAGTCTTAAAATATTTTTGTTTGGAGAGATTTTAATTTGTTTTATCTTTTTCTCTCTCTTAATATTTTATTTTTCTTTTTTTCCAAAGGTGGCAGAAAGGGCACTGTATTATTGGAATAATGAATACATCATGAGTTTGATAGAAGAAAACTCTAATGTCATCCTTCCCATCATGTTTTCCAGTCTTTATAGGATTTCAAAAGAACATTGGAATCCGTAGGTTTTCAGTTTCTCCCCTCTCCCCTCTTCTCTCCCTCCCTCCTTCTCTTTTGCTTAATAAAATGTCTTGAATGCTTGCTATGTGTCCGATGCTGTGCCTATTGGTGAGGACAGGTACATGACAATGCCTGTCTTTTAGAAATTTACTGACCGGATTATGGAGACTCACAAGTAAACAGATATTTTACAAAACAGTGTTTTTAAAGATGCTGTTATGTTAAAGTATCTGCTTACTTGAGGGGTTCCTGATTTGTCTGTGAATGTAGCAGAACTATTTTGGGGATGCTGTGGAGCGAGAGGAGGGGTTTGCAGATATTGACGAGGTGGTGATGCTCAAACTGAGTCTTACAGGAATTCAGCAGGTGGTTGGGATCGGGGGGAGGCCCTTTGGTAGTGTGGGTCTCTTCTTCACATTAATAGGCCCCAAAATGTAAAAATTACCTGTCAGATTCTGAAACCTGTGATTTTGGGAGGGCTAAAGCACCCGGTCTTCTGGGGAGGATGCTGGAAGATGGGGTTTAAAAGGAGAGTACAGCCCACATGAACCTTCACCAGTGGAAGGTAAGGAAACACCAAGGAGTCATAAAACAGAAAGTGCTTGAATTGATTCGCATTTTAGCATGATCCATTTCTTAAAAACCAACTCAGTCATTGTTCATGTTCTCTAGGAAAAAACAAGTTTAAAATCATGAAAGGAGATGTTTAACATCTAGTCCTATGAAAGTTAAATCATTCTGCATTTGAATGGCTTTAACATGTTTCTCTGTGGAATAGAAAGTAAATTTAGCGTGGTATTAGATATTAGTAGATGTAATTAAGTATATTTATTGTATGTGTTTTGAAGTTTGCATACAACTGTAAAATATCACATTTCTCCTTTTTCAAATTTGTCAAATTTTGTTACTAAAACTTGTAAAAATAAAGAACTGGTAAATAGTGAAGTCCCATCATGCTGGTAGTCTCTTGAGGACCTAGAGAGTGGTTCTGGCAAGTGTCTGTCACGGCTCAATGTGCTGTATGTGGCCCTTCTGCATCCCTGCCCATTGTACATGAGAAGGTCATTCACCTCAGCAGAAGAGAGCTGAAGTTTTCCTTTTAATGGGCACAGGGCAGAAGCAACAGAGCAAGTACACTTATGTTTTGGAAACAATAAACCCATGGTTTGTTTAACCTGTGGCCTAATTTACCAATGCCTTCCTCAGCAGTATTAGTAGCAGATTTGTTGCAAAACAGTGGTAACATATATTTTTGCAAAGGGCAATGCTATTTAGAGTCTAGTCTGAAGATACCAAGCCTGTCATGGGCATAGTCCTCATATTGTCAAGAGCTTATTCTTCCTCTTGATAAAGATTTGCTGCCATTTTGGCCATTTAGCTGTTCCACAGCTAATAGCAGCCGTCACTAGCTTGCCAGTCACCTTACCAGAGTATGTGTTGGGTCAGCAAGGAGACTTAGCAGGAGTGAATGGACTGAAACAAATCACAACTAGAAACTTAACTCATATTAAACTACCCAACTTACAGGGGTTTGGTATATCTTTGAATAAAAATAATATACATGTTATTTGTTTCCATGAGAACAGCTTTTGATTTTGATGAATTATATATATGATCACTTAAAAAATAAAATTCTGGGGGCACCTGGGTGGCTTAGGTAAGCATCCAACTCTTGACTTTGGCTCAGGTCATGATCTCAGGGTTGTGAGATTGAGCCCTGCGTCAGTTTTCATGCTGGGCGTAGAGCCTGCTTAAGATTCTATCCCTTAGGCCCCCCTCCACCTCTCTCCCCCCCAATAAATAAATAAATAAATAAATAAACGTAACATTCTGTGCAAATTCAAGTCTCTAAGGTTAGTCCTAGCACAGGTGCTCCTTTTTAGGGTGAAGTGGCTTTATTTTTATACTTGTCTTTTTATTAAATGAAGTTAACGAGTGCCCACAGCAAGTCTATGCTGGGTACCAGTAATTAGAAGGGCAAAATTAGATTTTTCTTTTTCTAATCCTGCCAACCCCTCAGAAAGATATCTTGCCTAGAATAGTAAAGAATGGAACTCTCTTGATGTGGAAATGAACTGTAGGTCCTTTCTAGTTTTAACTAAGAAAGGATGGAGATTCTGCAAATACAAAGAACTCATTCAGACACAGGTTGTGCTCTCGCTTTCTCCACGCAGCTCCCGTCACGAAGACTAACCAACACATTCTCTTTTCTCTGTGCTTCCCAGGGCTATCGTGGCGCTAGTGTACAACGTGTTGAAGGCGTTTATGGAAATGAACAGCACCATGTTTGATGAGCTGACAGCCACATACAAGTCAGATCGTCAGCGGTAACTTTTTAAAGCTTTTTTGTCAGCTGTGCATAAAAACTGTTGAGTTCTTTCCTTGCTCTTTATTGCAGTTGCCTAATTGCACCCGAAATCATAAGCAGCACAGTTTTATTTATTTATATGTTCATTTTTGCATGCTCGTTAGCTGTGTCTTTATTAGCATACCACTAGGTAACAAAGTATCATTTTAAGAAAGGCTGCTTTCCTCCTTCCCTTCAATAATGTTTCTCTTTTGCCTCAGGGTTAAGGGCCTGGCATGTAACTGATATTTCAGGCCCCTTGAAGGGGACTGTTGGGTAGTTTGCCATCTGGGTTCACTCCCATTCTGAACTTATTTGAACTGGAATTGGGCAGATCTTGTGTACTTCACTGCAGCAGCAGGAGAGATGAGGCATCATTTTTGTTGAGCTCTTTGGCCCCGAACTTACTTAACTGTTCCTGAACACAAGTTCATTGGGATTTAAAGGACAGTGAAAAGAACATGGACATGAAGAGTCTGGTATTATACAAATCTTAAAATGTTTGAGACCAAAAAGGAGTTAAAACCAGTTGAGCTCTTTTTACATAAACGCTTATGGCTTAGTAAAGCCTTTCTTGATTTCATTTACATGAGGATTTTTGAACTTTATTTCTCGTTCAACGTGTCCAACTTTCCAAAAGATGTTGTCTTGGTCCATTTGGGCTGCTAAAAACAAAATACCACCAAGCTATGGGTAGCTTAAAACCAACAGAAATTTATATCTCTTGAATTCTGGAGGCAGGAAAGCCAAGGTCGTGGTGCCAGCATGGTTGGATAAGGACCCTGTTTCTGATTCCTAGCCGTCACCTTCTCACCGTGTCCTCACACGATAGAAAAGGACAGGGAATCTCTGTGGGATCTCTTTTATAAGGTCACTAATGCCATTCTTTAGGGCCCCAGCCTTATGACCTAATCATCTCCCAAAGGTGCAGTTACTGAGCCTAACACCCATGAGGGTGAGGATCTCAACATAGCAATTTTGGGCGGAACGGGACACAAATATTCAGACCATGGGATTGAGATACTTGGTGAACTTGAGGAAAGTCTAGAGAGCTTGTTAGTAGTTAGGCTTCTGGATCCAGAAGCAAATGTCAGCTTTCTGTATTATAAAACCATGGATTTTAGAAGATTCCGGGGATGTGTACGAGTGTTCATATGAACCAAGACCTTGCCGAACCTCCTGAACAAAGCTATCTGTGGTTCCCTTGCTTCTTTGCTTTGCCTGATTTTGCATGTGTTACTTGGATTTTACTGATAAAAAGAGCAATGAGGGGAAAGATTTGGTGGTGGGGTAAAGGACTATCACAATGATTTTTTTACAGAAATTACCAGGATGTGGTTATTTTGAAGAGCAATTTAATTATGGAATATGGCAACTATAGACAGAGGAGGCTGGGATATTTTATATAATATTGGAATAAGTATCAGTTATGGGATATGTTGTGCCATACTTGTAATTTAAAGAACTTTTAATTTAAGTATTTACAGTTGTTGTAAATCATTACATTTGTAACCCTCCGTGTGTTAAACTTCAAGTCTTTAAAAATGTTATTTAAGTAGAGGAAATAAAGGGCACATTCTCATACTGTGGCATACCATCATAGAGTGTGTTGTCCTTTCTTTTTAGAGCAACTGAAAACCCATAATTATTATCCTAGTTGAATAAGGATTAAATAAAATCTGTAGAATCCCATTAAGAGAAATGAAGACCTTATTTCTAAAATAGTCAAATTGATTTAAATTAATTAACATTTATTGAATTTCGGTAGTAAAACTGTTTTCTGATCATTTATCATTTAAGCTAAATAGACCAAATTCTTGGAAAAGATACCTTTTGACCAAGGGGTCTAAGAATAGACACAGTGAAGTTGATTCTGAAGATCTGGTGTATTAGAGTGACTTATAGTGAGCGGACTTTCTTTCTTTTTTTTTCTTTAAATTTTTTATTGTTATGTTAATCACCATACATTACATCATTAGTTTTTGATGTAGTGTTCCATGATTCATTGTTTGTGCATAAGACCCAGTGCTCCGCACGTCCCTCCCCTCTAGAATCCTGTTTGTTTTTCAGAGTCCATCGTCGCTCATGGTTCGTCTCCCCCTCCGATTTACTCCCTTTCATTCTTTCCCTCCTGGTATCTTTTTTTTTTTTTCTTAACATATATTGCATTATTTGTTTCAGAGGTACAGCTCTGTGATTCAACAGTCTTGCACAATTCACAGTGCTCACCATAGCACATACCCTCATCATCCAGCCACCCCATCCCTCCCACCCCCCACCACTCCAGCAACCCTCAGTTTGTTTCCCGAGATTAAGAATTCCTCATATCAGTGAGGTCATATGATACATGTCTTTCTCTGATTGACTTACTTCACTCAGCATAACACCCTCCAGTTCTATCCACGTCATTGCAAATGGCAAGATCTCATTCCTTTTGGTGGCTGCATAATATTCCATTGTATATATATACCACATCTTCTTTATCCATTCATCTGTCGATGGACATCTTGGCTCTTTCCACAGTTTGGCTATTGTGGACATTGCTGCTATAAACATTGGGGTGCACATACCCCTTCGGATCCCTACATTTGTATCTTTGGGGTAAATACCCACTAGTGCAATTGCTGGATTGATTGGTAGCTCTATTTTCAACTGTTTGAGGAACCTCCATACTGTTTTCCAGAGTGGTTGCACCAGCTTGCATTCCCACCAACAGTGTAGGAGGGTTCCCCTTTCTCCACATCCCTGCCAACATCTGTCGTTTCCTGACTTGTTAATTTTAGCCATTCTGACTGGTGTGAGGTGGTATCTCATTGAGGTTCTGATTTGGATTTCCCTGATGCCGAGCGATGTTGAGCACTTTTTCATGTGCCTGTTGGCCATTTGGATGTCTCCTTTGGAAAAATGTCTGTTCATGTCTTCTGCCCATTTCTTGATTGGATTATTTGTTCTTTGGGTGTTGAGTTTGATAAGTTCTTTATAGATTTTGGATACTAGCCCTTTATCTGATATGTTATTTGCAAATATCTTCTCCCATTCTGTCGGTTGTCTTTTGGTTTTGTTGACTGTTTCTTTTGCGGTGCAGAAGCTTTTTATCTTGATGAAGTCCCAATAGTTCATTTTTGCCCTGGCTTCCCTTGCCTTTGTGGTATTTCTAGGAAGAAGTTGCTGCAGCTGAGGTCAAAGAGGTTGCTGCCTGTGTTCTCCTTTAGGATTTTGATGGACTCCTGTCTCACGTTTAGGTCTTTCAACCATTGGAGTCTATTTTTGTGTGTGGTGTAAGGAAATGGTCCAGTTTCCTTCTTCTGCATGTGGCAAATTTCCCAACACCATTTGTTGAAGAGACTGTCTCTTTGCCATTGGACATTCTTTCCTGCTTTGTCAAAGATGAGTTGACCATAGAGTTGAGGGTCCATTTCTGGGCTCTCGATTCTGTTCCATTGATCTGTGTGTCTGTTTTTGTGCCGGTACCATACTGTCTTGATGATGACAGCTTTGTAGTAGAGCTGGAAGTCCGGAATTGTGATGCCGCCAGCTTTGCTTTTCTTTTTCAAGATTCCTCTGGCTATTCGGGGTCTTTTCTGGTTCCATACAAATTTTAGGATTATCTGTTCCATTTCTTTGAAAAAAGTGGATGGTATTTTGATGGGGATTGCATTGAATGTGTAGATTGCTCTAGGTAGCATTGACATCTTCACAATGTTTGTTCTTCCAATCCATGAGCATGGAACGTTTTTCCATTTCTTTGTGTCTTCCTCAATTTCTTTCGTGAGTATTTTATAGTTTTCTGAGTACAGATCCTTTGCGTCTTTGGTTAGATTTATTCCTGGGTATCTTATGGTTTTGGGTGCAATTATAAATGGGATCGACTCCTTAATTTGTCTCCTCTTCTGTCTTGTTGTTGGTGTATAGGAATGCCACTGATTTCTGTGCATTGATTTTATATCCTGCCACTTTACTGAATTCCTGTATGAGTTCTAGCAGTTTTGGGGTGGAGTCTTTTGGGTTTTCTACATAAAGTATCATATCATCTGCAAACAGTGAGAGTTTGACTTCTTCTTTGCCGATTTGGATGCCTTTGATTTCTTTTTTGTTGTCTGATTGCTGTGGCTATGACTTCTAATACTATGTTGAATAGCAGTGGTGATAGTGGACATCCCTGCTGCATTCCTCACCTCAGGGAAAGCTCTCAGGTTTTCCCCATTGAGAATGATGTTCGCTGTAGGTTTTTCATAGATGGCTTTTATGATATTGAGGTATGTACCCTCTATCCCTATACTCTGAAGAGTTTTGATCAAGAGAGGCTGCTGTACTTTGTCAAATGCTTTTTCTGCATCTATTGAGAGGATCATATGATTCTTGTTCTTTCTTTTCTTAATGTATTGTATCACGTTGATTGATTTGCGGATGTTGAACCAACCTTGCAGCCCAGGGATAATTCCCCCTTGGTCGTGGTGAATAATCCTTTTAATGTACTGTTGGATCCTATTGGCTAGTATTTTGGTGAGAATTTTTGCATTCATGTTCATCAAGGATATTGGTCTGTAATTCTCCTTTTTGATGGGGTCTTTGGTTTGGGGATCAAGGTAATGGTGGCCTCATAAAACGAGTTTGGAAGTTTTCCTTTCATTTCTATTTTTTGGAACAGTTTCAGAAGAATAGGTATTAATTCTTCTTTAAATTTTGGTAGAATTCCCCTGGGAAGCCATCTGGCCCTGGGCTTTTGTTTGTTGGGAGATTTTTGATGACTGCTTCAATTTCCTTAGTGGTTATAGGTCTGTTCAGGTTTTCTGTTTCTTCCTGGTTCAGTTTTGGTAGTTGACACATCTCTAGGAATGCATCCATTTCTCCAGGTTATCTAATTTGCTGGCATAGAGTTGCTCATAATATGTTCTTATAATTGTTTGTATTTCTTTGGTGTTGGTTGTGATCTCTCCTCTTTCATTCATGATTTTGTTGACTTGGGTCATTTCTCTTTTC